CGCTACCTTTTATGTTGGGAGTTCAGTGTCTTTGTACCTTTACCTCATGTTGTGCATGTGTCTTATCCATCCGAGGTTCTCTCGCTCTTTCTCTCCTTCTCTTTCTTACTTTGAATGAATATTCATACCCATTTCCTCCTGCTTCTCTTTCGGTCTCTTTTTGGGTGTGAAAGTGGATGCTTTTACCCCACCTTTCTCAAACATGCCTTGATTTATTTTTTCAGTATGTGCACTAAAAATCAGAGGTTAGTCAGTTGACATTTTGCAATATAATCTTATTGATCTTTAGCGGGTTCTGTTTTTCATGGAATTGAAGGTCAAGTGGTACATTTTTATGGTTTATCTTTTTTTTTTTTGCAAAAAGTGTGCCGATTCTGTAGTTACTTTACAAACTTGCCCACTTGTTTGTTATACTTTTTTTTTTTAATGGATTTCCTGATCCATATATTGTTTAGAAACACAAACATGGCAAATATGGGAATCCTCATTCGAAAATCTGTTCAAACATACTTGTGACTCATAATGTTTGGATTATTCAATAAAATCCACGATTGTTTCTCTGTGCCATTTTCATGTTTGGTGATGCCAGATTGGAAACGGGAGATTTCAACAGTGGAACCTTTGTTTTTGAGCCCCTAAAAAATAACAATAAGAAACAACAATTATATAGCAACAATTTGTGATCAACACAAAATTTCTCCAAATCTGTTTCAATGAAAAAACAAACTCATCTACTTCTTAGATGGCCTGAGGGTGAGTACATTTTCATTTTTTAGTGTACTAGTCCTTTAATGGAGGTTTATTCTACCCAGCAGCACACATTTGTTCAGTTTCCATACCTTTAGGCAGAAGTGAACTTGTACTTTTATGATTTTTCTTCATATTCAAGAACATTGAGCCTCATTTATTGGCATGGCTTGAAGAATATTTCACTTGTACAATATCATCACATTCAACTTTATGATAGCTTTCAGTCAGTCAGTCTGTGATAGCTGACCAGAAAATGCAGCAATATCACATCTTCATGCAATGTTCAAGTGCTTTACTTCGATCATATCTGAAGCCGTTTAAAGGCTGGGATGCATTTGAAATTGTTCCATTTCATTGACTTCCAGTCTCAAAGAATGTAAAACAGTTTTTATCCCGTACCTAAGCAATATGTGATGACATACTGCATATAAAGCTGAATTATATGCAGTGTCATACATAGAACTATCTCAGATACATGTATGTATTGGTGCTCAGTGTTACCAAATCTCAAGCTCTCAAGCTTTATGACATATCTGAAAAAACTTGGCTCCGCCTCCATCACCCTTTACCAATTTCAAACCTTAGATATTTCATTTATTTGATGAAAAAGTGTGTTGTTAACAAACAAAGGCCGAATACGTTCTTGGCAAGTATCCTTTAAAGTGTTTTATTACGCTGTGAGCCTTAGACTGAAGGTTAGTGCCGATTTAAAATGGAATATTCATTGTTTTATGACATGATCTCACTCAGGCTGAGGTGGGGCCTGTTCATCTCAATTTATTTCAACTGGATGTTGCACATTCTGTTGTAGATTGTATCCTGTCATGTTTATTTCTGTTGTGCGCTACCTTTTATGTTGGGAGTTCAGTGTCTTTGTACCTTTACCTCATGTTGTGCATGTGTCTTATCCATCCGAGGTTCTCTCGCTCTTTCTCTCCTTCTCTTTCTTACTTTGAATGAATATTCATACCCATTTCCTCCTGCTTCTCTTTCGGTCTCTTTTTGGGTGTGAAAGTGGATGCTTTTACCCCACCTTTCTCAAACATGCCTTGATTTATTTTTTCAGTATGTGCACTAAAAATCAGAGGTTAGTCAGTTGACATTTTGCAATATAATCTTATTGATCTTTAGCGGGTTCTGTTTTTCATGGAATTGAAGGTCAAGTGGTACATTTTTATGGTTTATCTTTTTTTTTTTTTGCAAAAAGTGTGCCGATTCTGTAGTTACTTTACAAACTTGCCCACTTGTTTGTTATACTTTTTTTTTTAAATGGATTTCCTGATCCATATATTGTTTAGAAACACAAACATGGCAAATATGGGAATCCTCATTCGAAAATCTGTTCAAACATACTTGTGACTCATAATGTTTGGATTATTCAATAAAATCCACGATTGTTTCGCTGTGCCATTTTCATGTTTGGTGATGCCAGATTGGAAACGGGAGATTTCAACAGTGGAACCTTTGTTTTTGAGCCCCTAAAAAATAACAATAAGAAACAACAATTATATAGCAACAATTTGTGATCAACAGCAACAACCAGGCATACAAACTCTATTCCAATATTTTATTTTAAAAGATAACTTTTCTATATGCATCTATCTTTTAAATATTGGGCCAGTTAATAAAGCCTATGGCAAACATTCAGAAAGTTTGCATGTACAAATTCAGAAACACAGCTCTGAATGATGCATAACATATATTTGAGTCTCTAACTCTAAAGGCTTTAGTAAATCCGGCTATTGCAATAGTAATACAAGTCACTATAAAGAAGGTCTTGTTGAGATTAATCACTGCAATGCAAAAACTGCTTGTTTGTAGATATTTTACAGCTAATATGCCATATTCTTCAGATCAATATATATTTTGAAATTCAAAATATTGTGATTACAGTTATATATAAGTCATAGAAATGAAGGGTATAGATTAAAATAGGCATGTCAAGGTCATGCATATAAATAAATCTACAGCATTCAAAAATAAGGATATTCGGCATGCGATCATACATCAGGAGTACTTCTGGAGCATGAATTCATCTAGACAATCACCTGAGATTGTACAAAGTTCTAGAAAAGGGGAGGTTTGGCCTCAGGCGTGAGAGAATCTACAGTATCTACTGTAACATTCAGCTACAAAGCACAAGCCTGTTCTAACTGTATCGATGAGCATATACAGGACTTTCCAAATAGGTTCGGATACAGAATAATAAAATAAATACATAGAGCAGTAATTAAATAAATATAGTAACAATTAATAAATTAATAACACTTTATAATGGGTGCTTGAATGGCTTTGCATGCTTTTTCATTGATATAGTTTTTTAAATAAATAAATTCTTACACTAGGTGGGAATAATAAAAATATGACGCTACAAATAAAAGCTCAGCTGGATTAGAACCATTGCTTAGGCTACGTCTAAATTAATCCTGATACATTTGAAAAAGTTTTTTTGTTACACTGGCATTTTCCAATAGTTTCACTTCCTCAGTAAAACGTTGAAAAAAAAAAATAACTTGAAAAAGTGATAGTTCACCCAAAAATAAAAAATTCTGATTCAAAAGAAGAAATTCTGAGGAATGTAACCAAATGGTTGACGGTAGCCATTGGTTTAGTATGGGGAAAAAATACTGTGGAAGTCAATGGCTACCGGCAGCTGTTTGGTTACAAACATTCTTTAAAATCTTAAATATCTTCTTTTGTGTTCAACAGAAGAAAGAAGCTCAAATAGGTTTGGAACAACATGAGGGTGAGTAAATGTTATCCCTTTAAATCATCTTAATGTGCATGCATAACTGAGCTGATGTGTTTCAGCTCACTGAGATGAATCCGAGAGACCACATATAAAGTTAGCAAAATATTTCACCACTTAATGGTGTGTCCAGGTCGCACTCAACTGCTATTTCATGTATGGCGTCACAACTGTCCTCATGATTTGCTGCAGGACAGCAATTGCGAGTAAATGTTTATTTTTGCAGTAATGTAATTTAAAGATGGTAAAGAATGTAATATCTTTAATGTGCAGGTGAAAAGGACATAGCTGGCACATGTTGGTATGTATAGCTACAACGTGTCACATGACTAAACGTGTCAAATATCATATTCGAATGTGTCCATTTTCACATTTCACATTGCCATGCGAAAACGTTTTATTCCATAAATTTATGTGGCATTTTCAAATGTGATCTATTCAAATCTGACTATCGTCAGAATCTTCTAAAAGCTGTTTTCACAGAACAAAAACAGCACCTCAGTGGGGACAAAATGCCAAAATGTTGAGAAAAATTAATTTTCAGATGTATCTGGATTAATGTAGATGTAGGCTTAAAATACACTAAACCATCTACAGGTGATTACCAGATCTTCTACCTTCTACCTACCAGTTTACACCTTAAAACACAAAATGTGACAAAGCAAGTACAGCTTTCTGGTGCTTTAGGTTTGTCTTCTGCTTCCGGCTGCATTAAAGAAAAGAAAAAAAATCTATAGGTTTTGCATAGCATTTTAAAACGTAGGACTTTTCTTGAAGCGCATATGCAACATTAAGCACTTGCATGTTCACACTGATGAGCAAAATAAAACCATGCAAGCTGGAGATGAACCATAACAAGTAATATGAGGAACGCAACGATATTAGGGTAAAACTGTTAAGCTCACAAATAGTTTGGCTTATATTTTGGGCAGTTTCTTGTTTTCCTGTCAATCCCAGGCTGATAACTGTGGCAAAAGGGGCAGTGCATCGGATTTTGTGAAATAATCAGCGTAACATTTCAAAGATGTGGTATGTTTCACCAAAATACCTTGATGGAAAATAGACTTCTACATCAAGAGGTCAAAGTATGGCAAGGAATGGCTTTTATCTGGTATCATACCGATAACATCTCAATTATTTATTTTGCATGCAAGATAAGTAAGGCTTTTTAATCTGGTCTCCAAGCTCCAGGAAATAAAGGGGATGATGCAGCAGAGATCAGGTGAGGAGTGTCCAGGGTTGAACTAAGTGCCACCAAAATCGATAATAACCCCACCATCTCAAATAAAGAGTGCAATCGAACCAATACATGAAGTCTACACAGTACAGTACGTCTAATCAAATCATTAATGTGAAGCCAATGTTGTTCTTGCACATGAATAGTCTGCGTTCCTCTCATCAATTGTGGTTTCCTCCGATTCCCACCATTACATTGCAGGTCTAGCTGATATTTTCTCTAAGGCATACTTGTACAATCTTCACCCGGCTTTGTGCTCTTTAGGGTAACCGTAAACTGATGTGCAAATCTAGTAAAATAGTATTATTATTTAGCACTCATTTCTCAGGAATGTAAAGGTGCTCTGCGAAACAAAGGTTGCTTTTCTGACAAAGTTCTTCTCATAAAGGACTTTGGATATTTGTCATGGTTAAAGGGTATCCTCGCTCACATATCCAGGTTAAAAGCTCTCATGAGTAAATCCAGGTCTCCTATGTTAGCAGCTTGAAAGAGCTCCGGCTGGTCCAGCATGGACAGCGCTATCCGCAGGGCCGCCCAGATGCTTCCAGACATGACCTGGTGCGAAAGCTGCCGACTCCTGCTCTTCCTCTGCAGGCTAAGTGCCGTCAGGAAATTACTGGCTGCCTCCCTGCAATAAATAAGCAATTAAATAAATAAAAAGGGTCTCTTTACATATATGGGCACTTTTGGCCCTGTGGTCATTCAGAAAATATTTTCCCCACACATTTTTAATGGTTTATTTATTTGTCCTTCTACAACAGTGAACATATTATGCACATAAGAATTCAGTTATTTTTGTAAAAAAAAAAATTAGATGTAGTTAATGAGTTTTTTTTATTTATTATATATTATGTTTAATAGCATTTATTATGAACATTGTACACATTTTTTGCAATAAAATGGCAGACTCATTTGGCTTGCCAAGGCAAATTTTATAGCTTAAATTGTATGCATTTTAAATACTCAAAATTAAATCATATTTTCACATATTTTGACAAATTTGACTGGAAATCATGAACACTAAAAATTTGTTTACAAGTGATATTTACCCATTTTTTTATATTTTACCTGCTGTTTACCTATATTTTCTTCTATGAAACAAAGTCAGGTCAGATTTTTTGATTAAAGAAGAAGTTCTTTGTGTAGAACTATCTAATATCTGTGTAGAAC